AAGGATCATGACGAATCTTAATATTGCATGTTACATTGATATCACTTCTGCTTTTAGTTGCATTATACCGCCCTGATAGAGGGTATAGATATCCCGCTGCCCAGCCATAGAATGCTGGTGCAAATGCATTACATTGCCATTGAACATTTATTTCTTTACGTGATGTCTTGGAAGTAAACCTCGATCTGTCAAGCGTTTGCCCATAAATTCTCAGGTTTGTAGTTTGAAGTGAGATGGTCCGTTGTGAGACTTGCCGGAACTAATTGTAAGACCAATTCATATTTATGGATTTACTGATGTGGCATATACACATGTATCCAAGTGACCTCTTCTGATTTGTAAAAGCTAATATTTGTTGTATAGTGAAGCCGGCCGGCACGTTCCCCAATGAACGACCGGGGCAACATAGTGTAGTAACTCTTTCAGCATCTTTTATTTATTAACCTATCTTCTACATAATTGTCTTAACCACAACAGCCAATACCACCGCCAACAGACCCACGCTGGGCGAACTCACTTTCGAATGCGAAGCATTGTTCTCGCCAGTCGTGTTGAGTCCCAAGTATTGAGCGCCGATGGTTGTCAGACCACCACTATTTGACAGGAAGGCGGCGTTAGGGCCAACGTTCGAGACATCTGAGCGAAAGGCGCCGAAATAGGTGTATCTCCCTATAAAGTCTGACTCGTCAAACCACTTAAGAGTCTGCTTGAAGAATTGTTCTGTTGGTTGGGGGTCTTGATGCGCGTAGGCATATTCTGTAACCCAGATAGTAGAGTTGGGCCATCTATCAATAACTTGTTAGCTTGAGTATGGTTATAGAGAGAAGAGGCATACTCGGCAAGGCGTTCACCAATGTGAGAGGCAAGACCTTCAAAATTGTCGTACCAATGCACAGGAAGATAGTCCCATGTGCAGTTTTTCTTAGGCCCATCTTGACTCTTGATTGCAGAGCAATTTCCCAAGAACTGCCTCAGCCATGGCATGCTACCCCATCCACCCGTGCAAGCAGGAAGACCCAACTTCACGCCCATCTCACCCAGTGGTTCAAAGTTCGCGACCCAGGCCTCGGCAGCGACCTTGGGGTCGAGATTGCTTCCGCCCACATCGTTACCAGCATCCGGTTCATTAAAGCCTAAGACATGCGTGATGTTGACTCCATCTTCTATGAGGCTCTTGACATTTTGGAGGAACGTCGTATCGCTTGAGTCGGATCCTACACCCCACATCATGGGTACGAACTCGAACTGTTCCTGAGGAACATCCTTATATACATTAGAAGGCTTGTCTCCATAGTTGTAGTACCAGGTGATATCGCTGCCGTTCTGGACCCAAATTTTGTCATCCTGGGGTTTCTCGGTGTTGGGAACGAAGCAAAGCCCTCTCTTATCATCGCGGGTGGCGTATGAAAGACTGACTAGCATGAGAGCCAGGAGATGCTTTGAGAAAGTCATATTGTTGTTTGATCGCAAAGTTTTCTCTTGAGTAATAGCCGTAATTAGCACAAGAGACAGGGGAGATAAACGTCGAGGTTCCAAGGATTGAGTGTCTGGAATTCAGAGTTGAGACTATTCTTCTCAATCTCTAGAGGTCGGCTGAGGTTGCCTGACGTTCCGTCTCAGTGGCGGTTAAGTTAAACACAAACTGATACAGTCAAGAATTAAAAGAAAGTATGAATGTTCAGCTTCAAAAATTGTCTGAAAGATTGTCAATAAAAGGGAGTGACGAGTCAACCAAGGACAACAGAGATCGCAGTTATAGGGAAGAGAACAAGAGGAGGCGTGGCCTCGAGTTATGAGGAAACATTCAGCAGAAGTTTCGTTCCATAACTGTTCTTCATCCATTAAAGAAGCTGGACAGCTTGTAAACGGTGGCTTCTGAAAAGTCGCCGAAAATGGATATAGTATGAAGCTATCCGATCTACTGGTTGGTTTGCATGGCCGCATCGGGAAGATGGTCTGTCGAGCCAGGGTCCAGACATTCAGAAACTAGGGACTTCCGAGACACCCTCTATAGAATATAGTGCCCTTATTGGATCATCATTGTGATCCAGGAACAAGTGCAGCACCACGCCACGCTCTCGTGGATTGAATACCCGTCAGAATCGATATGATGAAGACTGGACCAGGTTGGTGGACCCATTGTCATCTAAGAATGGGTAGGCGTTGGGATGCCAACTTCATACTTCAGATCATGAGCACTTGCTCTATACTGCTTTAGCCTGTGCTCAGTCTTCCTCAAGAATGTCAAAGAATGACACATAACGAAGAGAGTGGAATAGGCTACAAGAGATGAACTAGAAGAAAATCGTCATGCAAAGTGAGAATCATCTGTTGAGCCACCCAGGTGTTGAGCTTTTCTCTACATTCCAGTCCTTTTTGATGGTGAATTGGTATCTCAAGTTCTCAACAGAAGATGTTGTCCTAGTGAGGCGACATAGTATACAAAACGCATAATGCGCAGAGTTAACGAAATTGAATCCTGGTATTTTGACTAAGAAAGAATAGATGAAGTCCGAGCTCTCTTAATGGGGTAATTGCCATGCCGAGATAGCTAGAGACGGCTTTTTCTGAAGTGGCTGTTGGTGTGTTAGTGGAATTCCATCGCCTCTCGCCGAGGTCGCTGACATTATGTCATCAATTTGCCTTATGTAATACACCGAAACCTCGGGAAGTGGTCAACCTCGAAGCGCTACCTCGGCTTAACCCCACACATTTGGATGCGCCGTCGCAAGTACCGCTGCAGCTTCCGTCAATGTTTACCCCAGACCCCTCCCATGATGGACTTCGCCTCGGCATCTTTTTCTCCTATTTTAAAGCCAACTGCGCTGTCGCCTCAACTTCATTATCCAATCTGACACACAAGTTTTGTCGATTCACAGCACAGCATATACACAATGGCCGCCGAACGTATTGGTTCCATCATCAAGCACCTGGCCCCTGGGTCGGCGCTCAACAGCATGTGAGTGGCGATGACCCGAACCAATGTTGTCAACAAGACTAACAATGCCATGATAGTCAAGCGAAGAACCCCGATGACATTGTTATCACTCTAGCTGCCCGAACCCCTCTCACAAAGGCCAAGAAGGGTGGTTTCAAGGATACTTCTCTCGAGTATATGGTATATGCTTTGCTCAAGGAGGTCCGGGAACGATCAAACCTAGACCCTGCCCTTGTTGAGGATATCTGCCTTGGAAACGTACGTCGCAATCCCGTGAGATAAGCCGAACTCTCCTAATTGATGGTCAATAGGTCTCCGATGCCAAGGCCGCCTACAAGGTTCGCGCCTCTGCTCTCGCCGCTGGCTTCCCCAACACCGCCGGTGCTTCTTCCGTCAACCGATTCTGCTCTTCCGGCCTCAAGGCCACCGCCGATATTGCCCACTCCATCATCAATGGCTCCATCGAGATCGGTATCGCCATGGGTGCCGAACAGATGACAATTGGTGGCGACGCGCTCGAGAAGCCCTTCGACGAGGCTGTTACATCACAAAGCCAGGAGTCTGTGGATTGCATGCAGCCCATGGGTTGGACCAGCGAGAATGTCAGCAAGGACTTTGGCGTTACCCGCGATGTGATGGATAAATACGCGGCCGAGAGCTTCCAAAAGGCTGAGGCGGCGCAAAAGGCTGGTTTGTTCGCCGATGAGATCGTGCCCATCACCACCAAGGTCAAGGGCCCTGATGGTCAGGAGAAGGAGGTTACTCTTACTCAGGACGAGGGTATCCGACCAGGCACTACCGCTGAGAGCCTCGGCAAGATTCGAGCTGCTTTCCCTCAATGGGGCGGAGCAACAACTGGTGGCAACGCCAGCCAGCTTACTGACGGAGGTAAGTTTATTCTATTCGACTGAGGAGCCTCTTGCTAACATTTTTACAGCTGCCGCCGTGTTGTTGATGAAGCGATCTACAGCCATCAAGCTTGGCCAGCCTATCATGGCCAAGTACGTTGGTTCCACCGTCGCTGGCCTTGCGCCTCGCATCATGGGCATTGGTCCCAGCATCGCCATCCCCAAGCTTCTCGCCCAGCACAACATCTCCCTTGACGATATTGACATTGTTGAGATCAACGAGGCCTTTGCCTCCATGGCCGTTTACTGTCAAGACAAGCTTGGTCTGACATCAGACAAGCTCAACCCTCGTGGAGGAGCTATCGCTCTTGGTCACCCACTGGGCGCTACAGGTGCTCGACAGATTGTTACAGGTCTGTCTGAGTGCAGGCGGCGAAAGAAGAAGATGCTGTTGACCAGCATGTGCATTGGTACAGGCCAGGGCATGGCCGGTCTGTTTGTAAACGAGCAGGTCTAGAACAGACAGTGCATCTCTGAGATATTCTAATTATGTAACACCACCAAGATCTCGATATAGGCGAGTCAGTTGGAGATGTATTTATGATTTCGAGCGATATTAGCAAATTGGAAAGCATAAAATCTTTTCTTTAATTAGATTTCGGTGTTAAGTTAACTAGTAAAACGATTCCGGAACGGGTTGTTGTCTCATCAAAGTGTAGCAGCCAAGGGAATTGATAGCGTAATATCATGAACTTTGGTGGTGATAATCTTATACCCTGTGGTTTTGCAGCTCGTGACCTTTTTCTTGTAAATCTTAGTAATGATAACCCAGAGGTAAGCTCTGAGCATCTATGTACCATGTATTGATTTCCTTCTTTTTTCGTAGATAATATTCTGTGAGAATTATTTTACGGCCGAAGTCGGGTTCCCGGCATCAGCTTTACCACCATAACGTTGAAGAAGCAGGGATCGCTGAAAAACACGAGATCAGCCATTCGCTCACATTCCCCGAGAGGGCGGTGGGAACCCCGCTAGAAGTCACCTGGGGCTAGCGCTCTGATGTCACCGAACAGCCTCAAAATGCAGCCAAAAGTTGGGCTTGTGTGGGTGGCATTTGCCAACGGTTGTGTCTGATTGGCGGAGAGGCTTGGCTAGATCTGAGATTGGAGGGCGACTGGGATGGGAAAATGCTGATGATTGCACACAGAGGTCAAGGGACCTGGCCGATAAACGGGAACCCTTGGACTTGCACTACTCCTCATCTTTTAGTCTTAGCGAGCCATGAACTTTTGATCTTTTCTCTTTTGTTCCTCAATTTTTTGTCTTTCACCGCAAATTGATTTTGCGTGATTGCAGACTATATAGACTCCATGCATTGGTCTTCATCGTCAGTCGCGTCCTCTTCGTCGTTTTCCTAGTCGGCATTCATCCGTCGGCTTTTGTCGACTTGGCTCTGCGCCAGAAACAGGAATTTCTCTTGAGCCAAGCTTGGGCATACCTTATTGAATACTTTGCTGGATATATGCTGTTCCCTAGACTTCGGGGCCAAATCCAATCTCTCCCAAACTCAAACTGCGACTCGATCGAACTCCGCAATCATGGCGAAACGACCCTCCCACAGTCGTACCAACTCTGGGACTGACCATCGTCCTACTCAGCCAAGCGCTCTCCGCCAAGCTCTGAACGCTCATGATCGAAACGAGAGCGAAAACCCGACCGCGGAGGGTTCTACTACTCCCACGAGCGCCCCGGCCGCATCGCCTCCAGGTTCGCCAGGACATCCTCCGGGAGCTACAATAAACGAAATCTTCGCGAACGAAACGACGCCTCTAATCGATGGGAACAACCAGGGCTCAAACCCACGTCGAGGAAGTGTTCACCCTGCCCATCCTGGGGTCTGTAGCCATGGCACTTTCAGTCCGCGACCTATGAGTCCGACCTTGACTATGAGAAGCACCGACGAGGATGGTAGCGAAACTGCAGGCTCAGGGACGCACATTCCTGTGCTAGACAATGCAATTACGACAATCGTCGGCCATGAAGATTGGAAGAAATGGTTGAAGAAAAGAATGCGAACAAAGACAATGGGCCATAGCAGTATGCTGGCTGAACAAGCTGGTTTCGAGGATACAGCATTCATGTAAGCGCTCCAGTCCCTATGACCGCGAAACGATATGCTAACATGCTATTAGGTATCTGGCGTACTACGTCCCCTGCTTGAACTGGATGCGCCAGTACAAGGCTTCATATCTTCGTGGCGATTTTGTTGCGGCTATCACCATGGCTTCCTTCTACCTACCAATGGCCCTCTCCCTTGCTGCGAACCTCGCCCACGTCCCTCCAATTCACGGTCTCTACGCCTTCGTTTTCAATCCCTTTATTTACGCCCTTCTGGGATCTTGCCCACAGATGGTGGTTGGCCCAGAAGCTGCCGGCTCTCTTCTCGTGGGAACTGTTGTCAAGCAGAACGTTGGTTCCGGAGAGGACGAAGACAATGATTTATTGCATGCGCAAATTTGTGGAATTGTCGCCGGCATGGCGGGCGCCATGGTTCTCATCGCTGGCCTTGCGCGATTGGGTTTCATGGATAGCGTTCTCAGCAGGCCTTTTCTCCGTGGTTTCATCAGTGCGATTGGTTTCGTCATTGCCGTTGATCAGTTAATTCCTGAGTTAGGACTCGCTGAACTGGCTGACGATGCTGGCGTAAGCCACGGCAGTCCCGTTGAGAAGATTAGGTTCATAATTAACAACATTCACGAAGCGCATGGTTTGACATTTGCTATCGCCGGAATTAGCTTTCTAGTCATCATGATCTGCCGGTAAGTGGCGCTTTGTGGCTTCATTTTTGTTGCGATTCTGACTTTGTGTTTAGTGAACTCAAGAACCGTCTTCAGCCTCGATATCCTGGCGTTGCCTATATCCCGGATCGCTTCGTTGTCGTGGTTGTGTCTGCAATCCTTTGCTGGCGGCTCGATTGGGAAAACCAAGGAGTTGAGATTCTAGGCACAGTCAAGGCCGCCAATGGCCAGTTGCTTGCTTTCCAATGGCCCTTCAAGCTCGAGCACATGCCACACATTCGAAGTGCCATGGCGACATCTTTCCTCATTGCACTTCTTGGATTTTTCGAGTCTTCGGTAGCTGCAAAGAGTCTGGGCTCAAGTGAGACTATCCAGGGTATTCAGCTGAGTGCCAACAGAGAAATGATTGCGCTCGGTATCGCCAATATGGTTGGTGGATGTTTTATGAGCCTACCAGCATTTGGCGGATATGGACGAAGTAAGGTGAATAAGAGCACCGGAGGCAAGAGTCCCGCCAGTTCCATGTTTCTGAGCATCATCTCCCTGTTATCTATCTTCTTCCTTCTCCCCTACTTTTACTACCTACCAGTGAGTACCCCCTGAAAGTCATTTGTACCACATGAGCTAATATCACAAAGAAACCTGTCCTGTCAGCAATGATTTCTGTCGTAGCCTACTCGTTGATAGAAGAGGCCCCCCATGACATCAGCTTCTTCTTGAAGATCCGTGGCTGGACTGAGCTGGGGCTCATGGCTGTCATCTTCCTTGCAACCATGTTCTACTCTCTCACACTTGGTATGGCATTCGGTGTAGGATTGTCGATGCTCATGGTTATCAAGCATAGTACGCGACCACGTATTCAGATCCTGGGCCGAATTCCGGGGACAAATCGATTTGAGAATGCTGAAGGCGACAAGGCGAGTCTCGAATTCGTCGAGGGTTGTCTCATCGTCAAGATTCCGGAGCCTTTGACTTTTGCCAACACAGGAGAGCTCAAGTCTCGGCTTCGTCGGCTGGAGCTCTATGGAACATCGAAAGCGCATCCCGCTCTGCCCCGCCTTCGCAGTACCGATATGAACCGAAATGTTATCTTTGATATCCACGGTGTAACTTCCATGGATGGATCTGGCACGCAGGTTCTGACCGAGATCGTCCGCAACTACCACGATCGAGGAGTTCGGGTGTACTTCTCTCGATGCCCAGTTCGCAAAGATCACCCTGTATGGCGATTGATGTTGAGCAGTGGCATTGTGGAGATGGCTGGCGAGAGACATTTTGTAAATGACGTGGAGGAGGCATTGCGTTTGACAGAGTACGAAGAAAGCATTGCTGGCGAGTCGAGCCGGGCGCAGGAGCTCTAGAGCATTAGGGAGACGAAAAGGGGTGAAGGAGTATTTTGAAGAGGTTGTGATGCATAGTTTGAGACCGTTGTCGATGCCGTGGAGGAGATACCATTGCAGGAGTTTTTATAGAACAAATTGAGATTATCATTAGAGCCAGAATTAGCGTAACGATGCTACTCAAAAACAAATACAAACGGGTTGTTCTTGGATAAAACTTTGGGTCCATCTTTGACTATATACTCGGTGCTCAGGCTCCGTGATACAGGTTGATGCTATTATGATACGGTACAACAGCTAATGTCGCGTTTCAAGATGCATAAATGCGGGCTAATAATTAAGGAAGAACACCAACCCCTCACCGATCATGCAGTTACCTCAAGGCGAAGTCTCACATATCATTTTTTGGTCATTTGTCGTGTAGTGGCCCAGGCAAATGCAACCCTGCTCTTGTGATGGCAATATTAGAGAAGTGAAAGAAGAGCTTGAGGTACAGCTTTACATGATAACAAAATAAGACATGACTGTATTTGTACAATGCACAGATGAATCCTCTATTACGTTAAAATAAAAAGCATACCTCAAGCGAGTTTTACAAAGTTGCCGGCCAAGGTCCCGGGTAGTGAAGAGTGAACAGAGGAGTGTACGGGAATAGTAGACAGCAATGATTTCGACGATCATGGGCCATTGGGGAAAGCGAAAACCAATATCCATGTCGTGTGGATGGAGAATAACTCGAGGCGAGGTATAATACGTCCGCAATTTGGAGGTTTTGTGTAATGCTCACTGAATGATTGACGTGGCAGATGAGAGAGAAGGGACAAGACCTTGATGCATCATGCATACAACCTCGTCAACCGAGACATTTCGATCATGACTTATGATGTAACGTATATGTTCTGAGGGACAATAAGAGGTCTCGTATATCTCTTGCTTGTGCCCATGGTTCCGTCCACTTGGTCCTCGATGGCCTTTTACAGTCTCCCATTTCCAAATTCACATTCGTCTTGCACTGTATCTCGCACCCAATCGCAAACTTCAGACTTAAAGAAACTCAGATTGTATCATACTCTCTGGTCATACCGATCTAGAAATCGGAGCAACCAACACACATTGGACTGCAAATCGTCGAAGCTACCATGGCTGAAAATGATGAGCAGGGACAAACGTCCCCGTCACAAGTGGACTTGGCTCCTATAGAATACGTCTGTTGAGCCTTTCAATTACAAGATCTTTATAGACCGTCCTTGAACGGACTGAGCGATATCTCATGAGGCATATCACTGACATATGCTTCAACTTAATAGGATCCTCAAGTTGTTGGTAGCATGGATGATGACAATTCCACTATCAGCAGTGGCAGGTAAGCTATCACTGGTGTTGCAGAGTACCAAACGATTCTGGCAATTCCGACTGTACCACCGACAGCCTTCGAGATTCAACAGCGTCCATCACATCAAGCATCCTTGAATATAGGCACATCAATGGCCGGCCCCTCCAACAGTCGACAACAACGGAATATTGGTCAGCTTAACTTAATCTGTAACAAAACTGTCAAGCTAACGACCTGGCCGTTCCTAGGGCGCCTACTGACGATGATTATCAAGAAGGGCAGGATATACTGTGAGGAACTTCCTTTGATGAAAAGTTGGAGCATACACTGACTGGGAGCCCTGAAGACACCATTATACACTGCCTCTATTCGATGAAAAGCTTCACCTGGCACCCATTAATAAGAACCCTCAGGTATGAAGACAGTTAACCTGAATGCAACGAAGCTAATTACGCTTGGAAAATCCTTGACATCGGTACCGGGACTGGAATATGGGCTATGTATAACCCTCCTCGACTATTAACATCACATGTCTAATCTTTCCAGTGATATGGCCGACGAGTATCCATCCGCTGAGGTAGTTGGCACAGACATTTCAGCCGTTCAGCCAGCATTCGTGCCTCCAAACTGCAGCTTTCAAATCGATGATGCCCAACGCAACTGGACGTTCAAGCCTGATGAATTTGACTTCATCCATATCCGCTATCTTTACGGTGTGATCGACGACTGGAAGAAGCTATACCGTCAAGCATATACCCACGTACGGCCAGGAGGTTGGGTCGAGAGTCTTGAGATCGACATCGAAACGCACAGCGAGAACCCCAAGATTGAGAAGGACGAAAACCACATCTTCAAAAAATGGTGTAAACTATTCTTTGAGTGTGGTCGTAAGACTGGCCGAACTTGGAAGATCGCGCGGGATGGTCGCCAGGAGGAGTACATGCGAGAAGCAGGATTTACAGATCTATCCTCCAAATCGTGGAAGCTGCCCGTTGGAGGTTGGCCTCAAGACAAGAAGCTGAAGCAGATTGGTCTATATAATGGGGCTTTTATCCCAATTGGAGAGATCCTGGGTTGGTCGAAAGAGGAGGTTACGGTTCTGGTCAGCCAGATGCGAAAGGCACTCAAGGAGCCAAGAGCGCTGCCCTATTTTACTGCGTGAGTCTGATACTGACTTTATGGAGAGTTTAGCGCCGCTAACGTAGTGAAAGCCGTATGGTCTATGGTCGAAAACCTGAAAGTATTCCTGAGACTGCTTAATGCACTTATGTGGTCAATTTGACCAAGCCTGGCCATAATGTCAATGCCACCAATTTCGCTACGACTTACTTTCTTCATATGTATCAAGTCTGTTGAACTTGGTTCAAGGGCTCGTCCAAAGGTTAAAATCGTACAAAAAACACCCTTGATCTTCAACTTGTTTGAGACAGGGTCACTCAGTTTCTGTGCCAAGACTACTGTGTAGCAATAAAACGTCCAAAACATGAAAGTTCTCACGATAAGAGGATTCGATGAAAACAATTGCTTATCCATTATCATTTACCATGAATATTGCGTGCTTTGCCTTCTACTGCTAGAATCATTCCCGACAGCCGCAACATGTGGTGATGATATTGATATCCACTTGCTGGAGCAAATGTGGCGTTGGGCCAAGACCAAGAAGACCCATCTGATGGATTCAAATAGTTCGATAATTCGGGGAGTTGATCATATCATACATATCATTCTATTCATGGTTTCTCCAGTCGAGGCGCCATGACCGAGATCAGGTATCTGCAACTCCCCGTCGCAATCCCCACGACAGTCACTTCAAGTCTAAAATCACGAGAGTATACATATTGAGACTCTTTCGGACCCTCGACCATGATAGATTAGAGAGTCGCATCAGCGCCGACAGTCCGGAGCCACCGAGCCCTACCGTATAGAAATCACTGTTCATCCCCCAGTTCCCCCACGGGCGCAGTAATCCTCGACAAGCACTGCAACCTCTTAAATCAGGACTCTGACTTCTCTCGGTCCACTCGCCGCTGAAAGAATGTCGGTGCCTGGTTCTGAATCGCAGGCCCTAGCAAAAGACGTCATGGGCTAGCAAGGCCGGGCGGTCGGCTTGGCGTTGTAATATTTCCCTTGGGGATATTCTTTGTGGTTCGATTAACCAGTCAGATTCTTCTGATTCAACGCCATGAAGTCCCAAATAGGCAGGCAGGTTGTAAAAGAATATGCGATGGGCTGAATGACTTTGACCCAAGGCTTCACCTTCGAGACAGTGTATTGATGTCTCTCAATGCGGGTCAGAGTTCACGCAATGGAAGCTTGTTCTGACGAGCTCAACTATTTTAGACTCATTTTTCCATTAATTTTACGGATACCGCTTGTTAAAATGCAAGGGGAAGAATAGCGTTGATGATACGTGACAGTCAAAGTGGAAGCCATGGAACCAAGGGTGTAAGTTATTGCCTCCGTAAAACCAGTTAATTCCCCGAGAAGGGACCCAGCTTTGACTGGTGTCATCAAACCCCCAAAGAAGTTCCTCAGGTCTCTTCAGACCGTTTGAACCGTTATCATCAAGCCTCTCCCCCACGCCTCTCGATCCTTTCTATTCAATATTACCACAAGCGACGTGCTCGGGCACGGGGTTGCCGTACAGCCATGTGGCATACTGTACATCTATCACCTTGGCATGAGCCTCCAGCTGAAGCTTTTTTCCCCATCCATCCTTGCGTGCGTTTGGCCAAGAGAAAAGTGGTTGGTGCCGTCTTACCCTCCGACGCCAAGAGACGAGGCACTGTGACCCCTGTATATGGCGCAAACACACAAGGCAAAACCGGAAATAAGCGTTGAAGTCAAGTTTGCGTTATGCTTAATTTTAACCTCATCTAATTGTGGCTCTCAGCAACACTCAACTCTAACAATATTACAACACTCCATAGAAAAGAAATAGGCCCTTGGAAAGACCAAAATGGATTAATACTCAGCTGTTGGCTATTGTCTTGCAACAGAGACATAGGTCAGCATCATCCTCCCACGGCCGGGGCCCCAACACGCCAAGTCTCTGGGCCTCTTGGCAGCGGAGTCTTGTTCGCAGACTCGTTTCTTGTCATACGAAGCCAAGCATTTCAATGGAGTCGGCCAAGTCGATCTTGTCCCCGGCAGCAAGTAGCAAATCCAACAGCTCCCCGTCTTGGAGGGGACTGGGTCGATCCTCCGATAGTCCTTGTAAAAATGTAGACCCTTGGCTCGTCCCTGACTTTATGGAGGTAGTATCTGCAATAAAAGACGGCTCGTCCGCGCGTGGATCCTGCGTTTGTGAAATTAACTGTGCCAGTGTCTCGGGTTTCTTGACATTTTGTGGAATCAGGGCCTCTGAGTTTCCTTCTGTGAAAAGTTCACCTCCTTGTGGAACTCTCACCTCATGAATAACGGAACTTGATACTCAGACGACTCAGCCGAATAAGTTCCTCTCCTCCTCGCCCTCGAGCGTATCAGCTTCATTATGGCGATCCCGCCAATTCTCAAAAAGATCGGCCAAAAGCTCTCTCCTCCACCATCAACCTCTGAAGATGGCCGTGATCAATGGAATTCGAGAGCTTCCTTCTTGCTTGCGGCCATGGGAGGTTGTGCCGGTATGGGAAACCTGATTCGGTACCCTTCGCAGGTGTACAACAATAACGGTCTCCAATGGTTCATCCCATATCTCATGTGTGTTTTCCTAATCGCCATCCCGGCCTTGATTCTCGAAGTCAGTATTGGTCAAGCGTACCGTGGAGGGTCTGTCGTCGCTTTCAACAACATCAACCACCGTCTCAAAGGTCTCGGCTTCAGTCTTCTATACATCGGCTTTATGGTCAGTCCGTACTTCGTCGTCAATTTGTCCTGGATTATGATCTACTTTCGAAACTCATTTCAGAGCCCTCTCCCCTGGGAGGGACGTGCCGAGGAATACTACTACCAAGACGTGGTGCAGAATGTCGATGCGATTCCCGGTAACAAGACGTCGAATGGTGTTATAGACTATGTCAAGTATCCCGGCACCGCACTCATTGGAGAGACTGTTGGATGGACCGCATTCGTTTGGTTCCTCGTCTGGATCTCCATTTTCCGTGGTATTGGCCAGACAGGTCGTGTTGTCTACTTCACCATGGGTCTACCTGTTGTCTTGACCATTATCCTTGTCGGTCGATCTGTTTCTCTTCCAAACGCTGGTCGCGGCGTAAAGCTGTACTTTGGCGAGTGGAACGGCGAGAAGCTGGCATCTGGCGACATTTGGCAGACTGCAGCTGGTCAGGTGTTCTTTTCAACTGGTGTCGGTTTCGGCTATTTCAGTTCTTATGCATCTTATAACCAGAAACATGCCAATGCTGTTATGGACTCATGTCTTATCGTCGGCAGCAACGTCCTCTTTGAGGGATTCGCCGCGTTTGCTGCGTTCGGAGTCGTTGGATACTTGGACATGATGCCTGTCCCTGGCGAACGAATTGGTGCCTTTACCATTGGTTTCTTGACGCTCCCCACGGCTATCACTCAGCTTCCTGGGTCATCATTCTGGGCGTTTGCACTCTTCTTCACCTTGGTGGTCCTGGGATACAGCTCTGCATTTGCCATGGTCGATGCTGTGGTAACACTTGTCATGGACACCAAACCCAAAATTCGTCGCGAGTGGGTGGTCACAGGGCTTGTGATTATCTCATTCCTTATTTCGCTCCCATTCTGCACTCAGTTCGGCTATGCTCTTCTCACTGGAGTTGACCGTTGGATCAATGATGTGGCTCTTGTGTTTGTGGTATTTGGCGAATGTGCATTCTCCACGACTTTCTACCGTTGGAGAGATGTTGCAGGACAGGTTGGAAAGCCAGCCTTTTTCATCTGGAACTTTGGATACTTTGGCGGTATGGTTCTTGGGGTTGCTGTTGCCCACGCTGTCCAAGCCGAAGCGGGTGCTGGAGTCGGCTTTGGCATCTTCATCGTCTGCTCGATTGTATCCTGTGCAATCGGCAAGTCTCCTGATGAACTTCCGCCTGCCTTGACCTTTACTGAGGACAAGGGCTTTGTTCGCCGGTTCATCGGCAGAAGTCCTGCCATGTCAAAGCTCTTCGACAATGTCTTCATGACACGCTTCTGGTACATGGCCTTCTACTCTGTAAGTACTGTCAACCAATCTGCAGTGTGCATTCACTAACTGGACTCAACAGGGCCAGCAACTTCGACGAGACCTCAACGTAATTGTCGCAACTGGGAAGAACTGGAGCATTCCCGCCTTCTGGCCAATCCTCCTACGCTTCATATCCGCGCCTGTGCTCGCCATCATCTACGGCTTTGCCTATCCCGCCTTCTACGAGCTCCGTGACGACCCTCTGCACATTCTTGGCTTTGGTCTTGCCCATATCTGCTTGGTACTGATCGGATTGGGAGTCCTCGTGCCTCGCTGGTACAACACCATTATCCCTCCCGACCGACGCGAGGAAGGCAAGCTGCCTTATGCTCCCAATGTGCTTTTGGATGGCGAGGAGCCGCGAAGAACTGATTCTATGGAGACTGGCGAGGGTCTTGCGGGCTCTGAAGGTGGTGAAAGTGAAGAAAAGAAGGGTCAAAGTGTGATGTAGTCTTGACGTGAGACTATGTGAGAATTGATGATATAGAATTTGTTGCATACACGAAGGAAGGCAAAGGACTTGCCCTGAGTTTACTATTGCATATTGTAGTCAGGTCCCCCAAGGACTTTGATGTCTGCTTGCTTCATCTGTCCATCAAGTGCAAATGCCGAACATTGAGAGTCGTCTAGCGGAATTCTTGCAAATGAGCAAATCTGCTACGTCGACGCCGAGTATAGAAAAACGGTGGCCGCCATCAAGAAAACGGGATCGTTGTTGTTCAGATGGTACACAATGCAGCTCATTGGCACGCGAACTGTCCGTGTTGAAGCTGAAGACGATCTGATGTTCCATTGAGAACCTGATGCTCCAATGAAGATTGTAGTAGGGCATCCTCCGGGCGTCAGAAGACTGAAGACTTTGCACCGGGTGAGAAAATAAACTGGTCAAAGGGCATGCTGAGTTTATCATAAACCATCCTAAGGTATCCAAATACCATCTAAACTTAGGCCTTTAGTCCTAAGTTTTCTGCCAACCTCTCGAGGATCAGGCCACACCAAGGTCCAAAAGTAACAATACGAGTTACGAAAAAGGGAAGTTGCGGAGTCTCCGTTGGAAGTTTCAAAGCGACGTCATTGACACTTTGTTGTCTGAAACATCTACACTCTCTAGGAAGGTGGGAAATCGCTGTTTTGCAGAGATCGTCGCGCACTCTAGCCAATCACTGTTTCTTGGCCGGATTCTCGCCTATCTCCCGTCCAATTGTTTCCCCAGCCCATACTCACGTTTATATCTAAGCTTAAGCCGGTCAAACCTCCGTCTTTCTTGCGCACCGTTGTTAAGATAAAACAAGCCACCGACGCATGGTTGACAAGCATTCCTGTTCAATAATTCTTGAAGTCACATCATGCAGGGGTTGTTTTCAATTCCGCGATTTCAGATATAGACGGAATACATTCATGCTCTGATCGGCTGTCAAAGAGAGAAGGCTCCGCAGATTGTTCTAGGGTTGATCTACAGAGTTGACCTCGGAGCTGTAGATACGACTCTCAATACAAAGGTGATATGTGTTTCAACAAAGACTATACACTCAAGACTTAACTCGTGTGTTTTTCGACCCGTATAACGGACGCATGGAGCCGCGACGGACCGAAAACGCCAAGCATGATCATCAACGGCTATCCCCCCGATCGCCAGAGTGACATGCCCCCCTTGAAGTCTAATCAAGAAGAGCTGAAGAAGATCATCGGCAGATTTCAAGTTCATATATCGCACTTACAAGAAAGATGCATACAGAGCTGAAAAGAGAGGCAACTCACAAACACTCTCGATGAAACACTTTCCCAAAAAGATGCTTCGGTCTGTTAAAATTGGAGAGTGGCATGATGGAATAAGCTTGGACGGGTGTCACACGATGATGATCAACTCGAAACTTGGATTTTCTCTTACAGTAGTGCGTGGGACGAATGACGATCTTGGACCATACCACAAAAACATTGGAGGTATATAAAAACTATGGAGGATACCATAGGTCGGAGCACTCGTGGCTCTCACCCATCACTCTTAACAAAACACTCAGTCAAACTCTAGCCTCTTGAACCATCAAAATGCACTCCTCAACCCTATCCATCTTCCTTACCCTCCTCCTATCCTCCCATGCCCTCTGCGCTACCAACGAGCCATGTTACGGCCCCAGTGGTCGAGCAGGTGTATGCATCACTGAAGCAGCCTGCACCTCCGCTGGCGGCACCGCCATCTCTGGCGCATGCCCTGCCGATGCTGCCAACGTCAAATGCTGCTCCAAGCCAACCTGCTCTTCCGGAAACTGCCGCTGGAGTTCTGATTGCGCTGGCACCTCTGCTAGCAACCAGTGTCCTGGGCCCGCACAGATGAAATGCTGCTCTTCTGCTGCCACAGGCTTCGGAGGGTATTCTGCACCCACAATCCCAGCTGTCGGTGCTTGCAAGCAGGTTTCTGTTAACGCTGCCAAGGCGGTGGTGAATCAGTTTCCTGGTAGGGTCAGGGAGATTGGATGCAAGAGAGATTGCTCCTGCCCTGGATCTTCCGATCATTGCTGTGGTCTTGCAACTGACTTCATGTGCTCTGATGCCGGCGGTGTAAGTGCCTTTTTCCGATCCTTTCTAAAATCGAAACATGGAATACTGATGAAGCATAGTCTGCTACGCTCTCTGGAAAAGAAATCGCTGAGTGGTGCATGAGGAATCGCAACACTCTCAACCTCAAGTATGTCATTTGGGGGCAGAAGATCTGGACTACCTCTGTCGATAAAACTGAGAAGAACTGGGAGAACTGGCGAACCATGGAAGATCGCGGCGACCTGACTCAGAACCACTGGTAGGTAACTACTGCATCGACAGTGAGGTCAAATAAGCTAAGAAAACTTCAGGGATCACGTCCACGTCTCTTACAATGGTTAGAGGCGAACTCGCAAGAATGAGGATCTGAAGGCATCTCGGAGAACTTCCTGTGTCACTGTTTGATTGGTACAAAATATTGGTAGTGGCCGTGGTCATTCAACATCAAATTCTGTCTAGCCAACAGTCATATAGCAATTTTCAACACCGTCCGTAATGTGACTGACCGCCTTGTGGTATCTCGTCTAATGTCTACCCTCAACGCCAGGCAACTGCACGTAACTGTCTTAATGCGTAATCACAATGCCAAGATCAAATCCATCATCCATCAAAACGCCGGGTATGTAGTACCCCACCACTTTAGCCCCCAAATGCTTCATTCACTACCTCGCCCTCATCTGGCGTCACCTCTAGTTCGAGCAACTCATGGGCTGCCTCGACCGTCTCCCCATCAATCCCGGCCTCCATCACTAAATCTTCTTCGGCAAAAGCAAGCCTTCCCAAGGCAAGAAGATACCTTTGGCTTCCCCCGTGAGCCATGGAAAGCTTCTCGCTAATGTCTGCGAGATTGGCAGTATCAGGGCCTGTCACCAAAGCATGGATCAAAAAAACGCATTGTGAGATGATCCGATATAGGCTTGCCGAGTATGGCGCCGTACTCAATCCCTGCCGTATATCCTTGGTCTCAGATGTCTGTGGTAAGATGTTGAAAGGAATAGGTTGGTCGTACAGCTCGTCTATAGACATGCTGAGGCAGGCTACAAGGCGAGGGAGGGCTAGACTGTGAGACGCAAGCTCTTTAGCGCCAAAAGGATGGCGTGAAAAAGCGATGAGCGTTCGCAAAGCAGCCAAGCATAACGTAGATTTCTCATGGCGGGTAGTTACTGATGGGTGGTAGTCCGTAAGCTTGTTTGTAACATGATTGATGACATGACTAGCCACATGAGAATCTTCGTCGTCTGTAACTGGGCCAATTGAGTCTGGAAGTGCCGAGGTTGTCAGGAGCTCGAGCATGCCCAAGATATCGGAAAGCTCTTGTTTTGGGCTCAGGAGTTTATAAACCATATCCGGTTTTATACATCTCCAAAAGACCGTCGCCTTGGGCTTAATTTCATCTTCTGTTACATCCATTGCAGTGGAACAAGCTAATGCGCTTGTATACAAGACCGATAAAATGTCAACGATCTTGATATGCTCCTTCATTGCCTGGAAATCATCATTCTTCAACCGTTGCTCACCTTCTCGTATACGGTGCTGCCATTCAGCCAGAGTACAGATTGTGGCTTGAGCGGGTGGTGTCAGATTCGGCAAAACGAAAGGAACGACTTCTGATGCGTGGAGTGAGAAAATGAAAGAGATGATGGAGAGCAAATATTTAATGGGCTCCCAGAGTTGCTCCTCATGACAACGATTCCACATATTGACCATGAGATTTGCAAAATCCACAAGTAGCTGCATCGGTCGATCCGGACTCCCCATCAGAGGTATTTTCTGGAATATGATAGCGGAAAGGGAGGTATTCTTGTCATCGTTGAAGGAAAAGCGAGACAATATGTCAAGTGTCGGCTGAGGGGCTCCATGGTCAAGAACAAGCGGCAGAAACTAGATATGATGAGCATAGTGCCAAACAGCCGGGAGGGGTCAGACAAACCTCAAAGAGTACGGCAGGTGGCGGCGCTACCACAAGTGGCACTTGGTGTACTGGAGCCTCTGGCTTCCCGGTACTACTCGTGAAGCTGTCGGTATGAGTTTCCAACGCCATAATAGGACTGTCAACAGTCGGCCGTTTCCTTTTCCCTTTGCTTGGTGTTCTCTCGCCGACGTGTAAGGCCACTGAGCCTGGATTTCTGCTGCGTCCTTGACCCTTACTTGGACTTACAACAATGTCCATCTCATCAAACCCATCAGCTACCCATGACTTGGTTGCTTTCTTGGGAGTCGTTACTCCCCCCGAAGGTCCAACAGCGGGCTCTTTGCGGCGAACTCGATCGCTGACCTCCCTCATATCACGTTGTAGGAATTGAAGTTCGGTGTTGGCATTTTGTTCAGCGGCAACAGCTGCCTCAGCAATCCGCTCCTGTTTCGCCAATTGTTCGGCATTGGCCTTGCTTAGACGAGCAACCTCTGCAGCGTGCTCTTCATTTGATTTGACAAAATTGGATCGGACAATCGAAGCTTCTCCCAGAGCTGCCTTGAGTTGATCCTCAAGAACTCGAACTCGCTGTTGCAGTGCCGACAAGATATCGCCGGGTTGATTTTGCGATTGTTGAGAAGCTCCTGGTCTGTTTTGTGGCAGGGCAGGCCGAGCGAATTGACTTGGCTGAGCACGAACGAAGTTGGAGCTCTGGGTTTGGAATTGCTGGGAGGTGTACATGGGCTGATGAGGTGGTCCAGCATTGTAAGGTTGTTGAGGTACCTGGCCCATGGGCCGCCGCTTCGAGGGGTCGACAACAGGGTTCCATCGCGGATTTGGAGGTGGAACTGAACGTCGAGAGTCCAAGTAGTAGCTTTGAGATGATGGGTTTTGTTGTAGATTGCTATCTACAACTGGCCTCCCAATAGGAACACCAGCATCATTCGTCACTTCGGTCGTATCGAGGTCATCGTCTTCTATCCAGACAATTTCTGGGGATTCGATCCGCGAACGCTGTGTCAATGTCTTCGATTGGGCTTGGACTTGCGTGAGTTGTATTGCATTATCCTCGAGTTCCTGGAGGGCATTGGCAGGGATGTCGTCGAAACCGTCATCGGAGAACTCGTCGTCGAGATCCATCTTTGATGGCTGTTTTCATATCAGAGGAGAGATCCATTGAACAGAAATACAAAGCTTTATTGTTGGCTCATCTCAAACGGTATTGTCGTTGATCACGGTTTCGTGTAATGGGATAGAAAGACTCTAGGAACGCGTCGCGAGGTCACGTGTAGGGTATGCAGACAGAAAATGTGGCGGTTGTTTCGTGCAGCCACGGTCTGAACAAGTGAGGCGCACCGTTGCGGAGCAGGTTTTGAGCATGTGAAGGGCCAAGTGCGTCATTGACCTCATCAAGCTTCCAGCTTTGACAGTTTGTGGAGAGACTCACCAGTCCCTTGGACCCTGATGAAATACTCGGCATACGTGAAAATATGCTTCTGCGGCATTGGGCCATATGCTTGCAATGAAGTTGCAGATTGAGACACGCGTATATGTAAGAGAGCGACATGAGTTAGTAGCTTGAGTGGAGGTTTACCGGCGGATATTACGGGTTTGTTCTTTGCAACAATTAGCTGTCATGCTTGGCGTTTCTTCTTCTTTGTTAGGGCTTCTTGCTCAAAATTACCGACATTCTTCGTAATCTCCATTTCTTGACCGGGACGAATCTCAACAGATCTATAAAATGGATCCCAAGAGACGGGGGGTTGTCCCACAACTAATAAGCCCCTGCGTCTGGGGCAGCTCTCAATTTCCCAGCTATCAGTAACAATGGGCATCTGCTTGGGAGTATACCAGAGCTTGCTGAGAGTCTGCAAAGCTCAAACATAAGAGGCAGCCCGGATATACAGGTGCAATGGAATTGGAAGGTCACTCGGCGGTTTCTAGAGTCCGTTGCCCGCTCCCTTGGCGCAATCTAAGACTCCGAAGGGAGACGGTGGAAGCCCGCTGGAAAGGCCGGAACACGTCAAGCCACAGCCGCAGTGGCCGGGTGGTCGTTCAGGGACTCGATTGGTTCCTCTGGAGGATTTTGGGGTGAGATTTGATCATGCTGTTAGCCTGCATTGCGTAGGAGGTGCTGTAGCTTGTCTGTAGTTGACTTGGCAGAGCCAGAGGCAGCGTCACTGCGTAATACCTAATCTACCATCCACTTTTAGAAATGCTATGCTAGGCTGAGCTGCAGACCGGGGCTAGAAACGGCTTGACTTTTCAAACCACCATTTCCTGTTCTTCCAACATCGTCACAACTATCGCGACAAGTGAGCTCTTTTGCCCACTCAACCGCGCACCATCTTTCGCTCCTTAGAAGCCCTTCTCACGTGGCAGCATTTTTGTGTTTGGCCTGGCTTAGCTTCTTCCGACCGTGACGATTTATTTCAACACGAAGCGAATTGTCGACTCCTGACCCCGTAACCCACACGAACTTGACCCAGGTCTGCGCAACGACGTCACAGGTCGCTTGGAGCAAATTTTCGACAACAGACAACTGTCATTTTCACCACAGCTTCAATTAGAGCTGCGATCGCGCCAGCGACTCGAGTCTATCGCCCGTCCGTCAACCGCCAACAACCTCATTGCCGGAATTGTTGGCAATAATCAGCAATAAAAACCTCTAGCGCCTTTTTCAGCGCATTCAGATACCAAATATCAACAGAAATGGCTCGTCCAAAGAGAGGGGTTAGGTTCCCCAATCGCAACGGCTCTGATGGACGAAGATCAAGCTTCAGCAGCGAGGATGGTGGCTCTCCCACCAAGCTCAAGTCCCAATCCTCGGGACAGCTGGAAACAGTGGACGAGGTACGCAGAATCAGAACAAGCGGCATGGCCGCATCCCGAAGATCTCGTGTTTGGCTCGAGGCATTGCCCAAATAATCCCAGAATTCAGCTAACCACCTTCGCAGAAGCAACCAGCAGTTAGCGAAAAGCAAGCCGAGTACGAAAAGAAAAAGGCAAACTTCATAACGCGCACTTTCTGGACCTTTGTCATGTTTGCGCTGTTCTTCGCCGCACTCTTCATGGGCCACATCTACATCATCTGCATCATCACCGCTATCCAGATCGTCTCCTTCAAAGAAGTCATCGCCATTGCCAATGTTCCCAGCCGCGCCCGCTCCCTGCGATCTACTAAGAGTCTCAACTGGTACTGGCTGGCGACTACCATGTACTTTCTCTATGGCGAGACGGTCATCTACTACTTTAAGCATATCATTCTGGTTGACAAGGTCCTGTTACCTCTGGCTACTCACCACCGCTTCATCAGCTTCATTCTCTATGTGTTCGGTAAGAAACTCGCTCCCTGGGTTGGACTCTCCAGACTAATCGCGACTAGGCTTTGTTTTCTTTGTCACTTCTCTCCAAGCTGGACACTACAAGT